ACATCAAAATCTTATTTCCATATTTACACTTTTTCCTTCTTGGAAGAATTCCATCCATCATTCACTAGCTTCCATACACAACGAACTTCTGGGCCAGGAGACCAAAACAAGGTGGACAGCAAGCTCATGGAGCAGGGAACCTTCAAGTCCAGCAGCAGAATGCACTGCATGGCTGGAAAAGCTATTGGAGCCTGGCACTGGCTTCCCAGTGGTTAATATTTATTGGGCTGCAGATTCTGCTTGGGGTCAGCTTGCTAGCTTGGTTGTTTGTATGTGAGCCATGCAGGTTACCCTTTCAAAATTAGCTCCTCATGCCACTTGGAGTTTGATAAGAAAAAGAAAGTCATGCGAACTCAAGTGAAGTTAGAGTGCCAGCAGGCTGGGAAAAGAATCTTCTGCTATTCCATCATTTTGGAACAGTTCTCTTATTGCACTTGGTCTGTGTGTCTCCTTTGTTTGAGAAAAGGAAAAAAACACCTGATTTTGAAACAGTTTGCTTGTAACACTCATCAGTTAATGTTAACAAGCGAAAGGTGAATAGAGGAAGTATTTCCAACTTAGCTCCAAAAAGGACAGCGTTCTACCCCCTCAAATCCCAACATCCCATCACTGTGTTTATAGTTACTGTTTCTTATGTTCTTCCTTACTGGTTTAGTTCCTGTGCAGCTACAGCAAAGACATCATACCCAAAATCCAGTAGTGCAAGAAGCAGTTTTTTGAATGGCATTTCTTCAGATAGGGCCTTGTTGACTTGGATCGAACCTTCGTTTTTTGACATTTCTTCCAGGTTGCATCAAAAGGAGATGAAACAAGAAAAATGCAATACATTAGTTAGATATAACAGGAACAAAGCCCTTGCCAAGGTCATAGTAAAGTATAAGGCTCACAGTGAGACAGTTTAACCACTAACTTTTCCAGGGGTAACTATTTGAGGAATTTGGTTGCCTGCTTTCTGTAGCATAGTACCAAGTACTGACTTCCTTATGCAGTTTAAAGATCATGCTGGCATACAGAATTCAATTATTTCTGTAGTACTTCAAGTGGTGCTCTACATTTATAAAAACTTTTAGCCCCCAGTAACACATGTACCCACTAGGCCAAGAATATGTGTGTATACCTAAAGAGAATGAGTCATAAGTGCCAGGACTGGAAATACTTCAGCACACTGAGGCTTGAGTTCTCAGAGCAAGTGCCCAAATCTGGCTACACCTGAATTTAGTCTATGTAATGCAGCGTGACAGCAAAGTGAGTGCCTCTGTGAGCTCTTACCACACTATTGACCACAAGTGCTGTGAATCTTAGTAAGGTGCAAAAAGTAGCAGAGACATTGCATTCGAAGGAGACTGGACAGTTCTGTAGATTGTGTAGTTAGACTTGGATGTTAACAGTGGACAATAGCTGGTGATATCCAGTCTCCTGCGATGCTGATGTCCTATGTCAAACAGCAAGACATTAGGAAGCAACAACAAAGTTGGGTGCAACCTCCCCAGTATCTGGCTTTATGTGGGGCATCAAGCAAGGGGCTCATGCATTTAGTTTTAACTTTGGGCATATGCACCACTACCGCCACCAAACCAACATGCAAAAAGTACAGAACAGGAATTCATAAATTCCCTAAAACTACAGAACAACCCCTGGATTTTCTGTTTCCTGCAGCCCTGCTCACTGCTAACATATTTATACATATTCTATACACAAGGTTTGTTTGGTGGTTTGAGACTAATGGATGTATGCAAAGGCAACTTCTTTTTGAGAAGAATTCCAGAGGATGGTAATTCTTGGGCATCCTTTGTTTCATTTTTTAACTTGGACACCTGTATCTAGATTTTTGCAAGATGAATGCCTAAGAATTGCTGGTTTCTGAAAGCTCACTGTATTCATCTTTGAGTCATTTCCCCTCCAGGAGTATTGTACTAATGCTCCTTTTGCACGAGGCTGACATGACTTCAGTATCTCAACCCCTCATCCTCTGTACTACAGGGAAATTTGAGACAAGCAAATTATTTTTTTCAGGCCAACTTGCAGAACTGCATGATAAGAAGTATTAATATAATAGAACTTGCTTAAATGTGAGTTAAAGGCTGCAGTACATCTGCTTGTCCTGCCAGTTTCAATGGGAAAAGGACGTCTGCTTCTCTTCCCCCTCCCCTCCTTTTAAATAATGTCCAGCATACTTGAATACAAGCACTACCAATGAAAAACTAATTAGTCATTTAAATCAACAATGCACATGAAAAATCCAGATGGCATAACTTGTCCTCCTACTCTATGGAAAGTACCATATTCCAGTTTGCTTGCAGAGGACAAGTCATCAAAACAGACACTAAATCATTCTGTTGCCTGAGCTTACTTTAACCAATGAAATTGTAAGTCTCAGGACAAGGTAGAGAGGACAGATGCTACACTAGCTTCCCAGCACAACTCTTGTGACAGAACTCTTTTGACTTTTATCCTATCAAATCTTTTCTAACCTGATCTCCACTAGTGTCGTATTCCAGTACAGATCTTGCCATGTATTCTGTGATCTGTCCAAACCATGTATTTACTAATTTCCTAGCTTTATTCAGCGGAAATACAGACTTTGAACAATATGATACAGACCAAACCACTGCCTTTCTTCACTTAGGATATTCTGCTAACAATGTTGTATGAGAAAGAAACAGTGAAGAACTAAAATAAGAGCCTGAAATACGGAACATGACGTACAGTGTCAATAAGGGAAGATAGTACACATGTGCAAAGCTTAAACAAGAGCCAGCCACATCTCTGCTGCAGTCCTAGCACTCCACAGGTATGACCCTGCAGAATTCCATTCTGATTCCCTGACCTACTTTAACAACTTAATCCTGAATTGCCAACCATTGAAGACAGTAGTCTTACTGAATTTGGCAAATAGAACAAGTCTCTCTCTTCCCCAAGAAAATTACAATAAAAAACTGAGTGAGTTTCTGGACATTTGCACCTCTTTATAGCTATGTATTAGAGTAGTACAAGGTTCCTTCTGGTATGCTTCAGTTAAATGATAAGGCAGGGCAGAAGAGTCCTCTATGGAAGGACACATAGGAGAATGATGCTGCTTCCTAGTTCTCTGTTGGTTTATTAGGAAGTTCTTAGAACATTAACTTCTTTTTTGCATTTAAAGTTTTAATGCCTCTTTAAATAACGAAGGCCAGCATTTCTATCTGAAATCCAATCAGAAAAAGGGTCTCTAACACAAAGTAGAACAGGTGATTCTGAATCAAAAAGGCTATCACCATGCTATACCACATCATTGCCTCTCTAACATGGTCATCTTTACAAACAAAAAATATTTCAGAAAAAAAAATGATGCTATAACAAAAAGCAGCTTTCCGTGTGCATTTTCACATCACTTTTACTAGCACTGCCTCTTAGCAATGTTGTTTTAATACTGTAAAAGTCAGTAACAAAAGCATTAATCGGCTTATAGCACTGCAGTAGCTTTGCAAAAGTGAGTGACTATATGCTAGGAAAAAGAAAAGTGTAGGCCCCTGAGCTACTCTAATGGCAAATATGTCTCTCCTATATTAAACACGGTGTACTGAAACCTTGCAGACCTGCTATGACAAAATGAACTTCACATTTCCCGAATGCCATACTTCTGTACATTACCTGGCAGAGTTCAGGCAGGAATATGTAGGACTCCCTTACTGCTGTCTGAACACCAACAGCTTTAAAAGTACTATGCAAGGCTCAGCTAAAGCAAAAGCTGCTTCTTAACAAGGTTTCCACCCAAAGTCTTTATCTCTAAGCCACTTGAAATGTGCAATGAAGTTCTATGCATCCTAAAATTGTCAGTTAACTTTTTTCTTTCCTATTCTGCTCACACATTCACTTGATTATAAAAATTAACCTTGGATTCATCCTTGAAACTGGAAGTTGTTTGATTTGCTTTTACTTTGTTTCTGTCAACTTGCACCAAGCCTTCTTTTACACTTCCCTTCCAACCCCCCCAACCTCCCGCTCAGTTCATGAACAAAGTTTGCTTAGTTGCAGCTTACGTTTGATATGGACTTGACACCACAGTACCGTATGTTCATATGAACATCTGATAACCTGTGAAACAGAAATCACATCTCCCAGTTTGTAAAGCATTAGCTACCTTCTCTCATATTTGCAGAGACTAAACACAGCACTTGCTTAAAAAGGGAAAGTTAAAATCCCTCTGTTATTCTCAACTGTCCCTTCAGATCTGTCTGAATCAAAGTATCAGGGGGTCTACATGTGCTAGCCTTTTTTTGTGTACAAGCTGAAAAGCCTTTCCAGTTCCCCTCTGACCCCCAGAAGAAACATGCACTTCAAGCTGTGAGCTAGGCCAGGCCAGTGTGTTTGAGGTTCTGCTACAGAATAAACAGTTGTATCTTGCTCTTGTGAGAGTAAGAGCTTCAGGAGGTGTTTCCAATACAGATCCTCTACAGGGATAACAAACTTCTACATTTGGGCAAACAAATGACATCAGGATGCAAAGTTGAACACTTCTGAGAGCAGAGTCTGAGAGGTGTGGAAAACAAAGGAGAAAGAATCAATTACATCCTGTACTGTTTCAGACAGGGAGGGATTCTTCTACTGATCTGTGTCCATGCAAGTTCTTGAGCTGTGTCTGCAGTTAGCAGCCAGTCTGATCACACAGCTGCTGCCAGGGGCTGCAGCAGTGATGGGAAAGTGCTGAGGTGGTCAGGGCACAAGAACAGCTTGAAAAGACTCAGAGGAAGAAACTGACATTTTTTTGTATTTCCCTGAGATGTATTATGGTTTCAACAAACTACCTTGTGTAATGCAAATGTGTTATTTAGGGACTAGTGCTCTGTTTCTGCAAAGTATGTGAACTGCTAAGTAACAGACGTGTCTCTTACAGCAGAAAACTCACCCAAAAGTATAAGCTGACATTTTTTCCAGCAGAATCTAGCTTGGTTAATTCCCATGGGAACTCACAATATCAGTGTTTCCAGTATCACAGCTTGCAATGTGTGTGTGCATTGTTGTTCTCAATAAACCACAATTTGTAATAAAATGCTAATGCAGGCCTTGCAGAAAATTTGGCTGTATTAAAAAAAATAATTGCAAGGGGAAAGAACCTCAGTTCTGCAACCAACTGAAATTTTAATGTATTGTTTATATGTTTTATTTACTCTAAAATACAGCTCTCTCCTATAAGTAGGATTTGGTAGAAAAAAATATAAATATACCTGTACTAGTTAATGCTATAGAATATGTCCATGTCTTACAGAGAGTCTGTAAAAAACATTATTCCCAGACCCAGCCTTTACACATCAGAAACATTAAAATCTCTTAAATGGAAATAATCCCAATTCCTTCTTGTGTTAATATGAATCCATATCTGTCACTGCATATTCTACACACCTCATTTGAGTTTCTGCCTTTGAACATAAACTTGATGAAACAACAAAACAAAAAGTGCATAAATATGAAATTATTTTACTGCTTATAAATCTGTAAAATCTCAGCCACATGAGATACAGTGTAAAAGATACAGTTAAAGCTACCTTGTTTAGAGCTGCCCTGCAGTAACTTCTAAATACTGGAGGCTGACCTAGGGGTGTTTATTGTGTAAATAAGTGGATTGGATTTATTTAGCTGAGAAGAAACTAAGATGAAAAAACCAAACAACCCAAACCAACAAAAAAAACTCAGCAGCTGAATGTAGGTCTGACATCAGGAACTAAAAAATCTTATGAAGATCATAGACCCATAGATGGATGTTTCTGATACATTTTGTATTTAATCTTTTGCTATGAAAGCAAACGAAGAGCAGTGACTTCCTCGGCTGCTGCATGCAGTGCTGCAGCTCTTCCAGTGTCAAGTGGAAGCACAGGGAGTGCCACTTCCCTCAGAACAAGCAGTTAGAGAAAAATGGATGTGGCAGGTGCTGGGTATTTCTGGGAACACCAACAGTGGCAGGCACTGCAGCAGGGAGTAATTGCCTTGTGCAGGAAAAGGGGCAAAGCCTGTTTGCTGTTTTCAGGAGGGCTGAAAGTGATTTTGAAATATTTAGCTTTATATGCAAACATGCCAATTCAGGCTGGCCAGGACTTTGAAAACATAACAGTCTAAACCAGAAGTAAACATTTTCAGGTGACTGTTGTAAGCAAATTACCTTATAAATTACTTGATCCTGCTTTGCTAGCTGCCTTAATCAATTAGGGAATAATTCTTCTCAGCTTGGGCATGGACTAGAAATAGACGCCATAAAAAAATTTCTTTAAATTATTATCAAAACCTCCTTGAATATTTATAGCTTATTGTTGTATCATGGCTTAAACTTGATTCATGTTATTGAAAAGAAATAGCAACTTGAATGCCAGGAGAAATTACTTGTGCTTAACACTACTATGATTGTAAGGTTTAAAACACTGATTCTAAAGTTAGATCCTTTTTACCAAATATGGACCATGCATACAGGTAGACTGGACACTACAAAAAAGGCAAGAACCACTGTAGTCAGCTTCTGAGAATAACTATCTGGAGGTGAAAAAAGACCTTGCTCCCTAAGTGTTAGGTGAATTCATGAAAGTTAAATTAATTCTTTTGCTGTAATTCAACTTTGCACCCTGATAACATCTGCTAGTTTCAAATCCATTTCATCCTCTTCAGTGCGTGTGTAATTTTTTTCCCTATTCAAAGCAGTTTGTTAGAGTTTGGGGGGTTAACTTAGAAATCTTGTAGCAGGAACTCAAAATTTAGTGATGTAAGCAAGAAATAGAAATGCCATAGCCATCGAAGAGAAGACATGCGGCATTGCTTACTTAAAGCCCCATCCTGTCCCCCCAAGGACAATAGCTGCTACCAGGATGGCACCAGCGATGGAGCCTATTATAAGATTGGTGGCACTAGGACCTGTGATAAAGGATTATGGTAAGACAGACATAAGAACCAATGACTTTATTCACATTACATGAAGCATCTGAAGGGTAGTCAAACAATTTGAGGAATACAGACAGCACACAAGGTGATGCCTCTAGACAATCTCAACAAGCCCAGCTTAACTTAGTTTAACAATAGGAATGAACAAAGCTGTTGGTCTCTCCATTGCGCTATGCTGACTTCTACCATAGATAAAAATCTAGTATTGGTGAATTCCATTGTGACTTACTTCATTATCTAGTGAATGGACAGTCAGCTGTAGACACTAAGATATTTGTGAATAATTCCTTAACTTAAAGAACACATTATGAATGCTGTATGTTTTATGACTACAGTGAGACCAAGTGAGAAAGAAAAAAAATCAAAAAGCCCTGTCCTTCATGGAGCTCCTGAAAGGTGGAGATATTTAAATTTGAGCTAAGAGCATCTCACACCACTTTTTAATCAGAGTCCAGACTACCTACAGGTTAAATTTACAAGCAATTATTTGGCAAAAGCAAAGGATTATATACTAAGGAATAAAAGTTGAAATAAAAGCCATATTAAGCTTTCCAAACATCAAAGCAGCTTTTCATAATCCTCAAAAAGCTGAACAACAAAGTGGGGAAGGGTGGAGCAGGAAAAAGAAAGCAACAAAAGGAAGCAGCACAAAATATGTTTGTGCAATTTTCTGAAAAGGACAAGAAAACATCTAAATAAGATATTAATAATTGACCCTTAAATGCTCTATTTACACAGGGCAGATGAAAACTGACAATAGGCTTGAGTAACGTTTTCATCACCCTGTACAAAACTTCCTATTGTGCAGTCTTTGACATAAAGCTAATTGCATCTGAACTCAAGGCACAATGGAACCAACTCAGCAGTTCTTCTGCAGTTTTTGTTAAAACATTTACATATTCAGGAATAGCCTTCAAAAAACTTCTACACAGCAATCAAAATTTTCCTAAATAATTGTTCTGAAACTGAGTTTGGAAAACTGTCAGACAGCTAACAGAAGGAAGAAAGAAGAGCAGCCAGAGATCAGCAAAGAAAGAGCAAGGGCAGCTGCAACAACTCGAAGTTTTAAGCAGTTAGGTTGGTATCACAGGACCTCCTGCCCAGTCCCACACACTACAATAAGCACATGCCCTAAGTTTTAAAATTAACTGCAGCAACCTAACTTCATTGCATCCATGACACATTTCCCACATCAGTTCTGCTGGAGATCTGATTAGCTAAAGAAAATCAAGCCTTATAAATTGCTACCTGCAGTTGCTACACAAAGAGTATTCAGGAATATGAATAAAATACTTGGACTGAAAATAAATATAATGAGCTTTACAGATGAGCAGTGCACAAGTTTGACAGCAAGAATCAAAAGGCAACTTTCGACAATTTAGAAGAATGTATCTTACTTGGACTTACCTTTTGAGTCACACCTGGCTCAAATCAACAGGAGTGAGCAGACTGGAGGGTAAATGAATGCCATTCCACAGGCATTATAGTCCTAATTAAGGCTTGCTTGCACCAGCTGCCTAATGAGCTACTGTAACTGACCCAGATTTATGGTTTACTCTGGATTTTATCAAATGCTTGCACACAACAAAAGACTGAAAACACAGCAAGTAATTTATATGTAATAAATTTTAGAAGCATTGAAAAATTCTAAAGCTGATTTCTTTCTAGCCATAGAATGCTCTCTGCCCAGAAAAAAGGTACTACGATTGACTGTAACATTAGATAAAGAAGTGCAAAATCACCACTTTTTTACATCCCTCTTCTTACTATGTTCCCTGGTTGTTAAATGTCCAGGAGTGGGCAGAGGGATGTGTATCCATTTCATAGTGCACATCCAATCACCAAACAGCAGTTTGTTCTTTCAATAGAGAAAATCAATATTGGTTTTATTTACTATAAATATGGAAGAATTCAATCCAAATTTAAACAGAAGATAATTATATACACAACAATTAGGTTCAGTTAATAGAAAAGTATATAATATATAAAACTAAGCTGGTAGAATAGGTATTATGACTAAACAGCAACCACTTGTTAATGGGAATGGAGTCCTCCAACTGTTCAATTCCAGTTTTGAAATACAGAGATTTAAGAGGATCACAGGTAAGTCATTTTAAGATTGTAACAGACTGTGCACAAAGAAGTACTTACAATGGGATTACTTTTACATGTTATACCTCACCTTAAGGATCTATGCCTTATGTTTTACTAAGAAATTGTATTATTAATAAACCAGAGTTTTGCTACCAGTACAGTGAAATTTATGAAGAAAAGTGTACACGCATATGTTTCAGCTCAATATGCCTCTCTAGTCCCTGAACTCAGATGCTTGACATGCAAACCAAGAGTAAGGGAAAGGTTTTAATAACCACCATACTGTGGGGTCATTTTCCAGCCACACAAGATGCAACACTTTGGTATGTTTATTCTTTCCACCATACTACTGCTATAACCTGCAGACACAGATTTATCAGGAGGCAACTCCTGCAGCTAACTGGCACACCACCTTTTCCTGCAAGGAAAAGCTCTGGCATGGCTATCATACTATTCCTGGTCATCTTTTAGGACCCTCATACAAATCCTACTGAAGGTGTTAGAACACCCCTATAATTTCAGTAGACTTCAGACTACTCCCTAAATCATCATCATCAGAAATATTCTAGAAGAATTAATACACACTGCTTTGATACTGCTAGTATTAAAAGAGGCAAGTTTAGTGCAGACTGTCCTGCAGGTAACAATTCACTGTGGTGCTTTGATGTTTTTTCCTGCTGTCACTTTGCCAGCCAAATCCTCTGGTTTAAGTTATCAAAGCCACATATCCATTTTAGGATGAAATGTGGAAAAAACCTACTGTGCCATTTTGTCCCACATGATTACTGAAATTAATATCTCAATGCTTTATGAATTTAAGTTATTTCAGGACTTTGAACACATGTTTACAATTTGCAAGTGAAGTGAAGGAAGGAGGAAGAAGGGCAGGACTTAACATCAGGTTGTGGTGAACACACCCTCCCTGCAGCCATTGATGGTAACAGCCAGCAGGGCCTGAAGGATGTGAGGAACAGAGAGGGAATATGCAATCCCTGTGTGCTTTCTATATAAACCAAACACCAAAAAGTAGCAGTGGTTTGCCTTGATTATATATTTGTATCTAAAGGAACCAGAGGACAAAGACTGATGGGATGCAGGAAAGAAGAATGGATAAAAACAAAAAGAATGGGTCAGATAGTGAGTGATGAGAGCAGAGGCAAGATGAAGAAAAGCTGGAACAAAGGCACAAGAACAAATGGTCAGGGACATTGGTCAGAGCTGAGTGGCTTGAGAAAACAGGTAACGGAATTAAAAAACAGAAGGGTACAAGGCAGAATGTAAGCAAAAGGCAAGTGGTCTTTAACTTGTAGGTAAATCTTCTGCTCCAGGATCTGTCCCCCAAACCTCTACAACCTTCAGAGGCTTCAGTTTTTAGCAAACAGCTGTAAAAGCCACCAGTAAAACACAAACTGATCTTTCTCAAGCAAATGATATATTACCTTCTTCCTTCTATTTGTTTTCTATAAGTTGTCCTCTGTGAACACAAAGGTCTCTACTCTTCTGAGACTGAGATGAGTTTCATGTAACAGACAGGTTACACCTAGGGCTGCAAACTCAGACAGACAAACCACTGCCTTACCAGAACAGAACTGTACATGAATGCCTTTGCACACAGCCTGAGCAGAAATCAGACTGTGCTGTTACAAGTCACCCTGGAGAGAGGTGCCACTGTCACTTCACAGGGGTCATATACAGTACTAGAAACACGGTGAAGTTGGAAGTCTCAGAGAAGCAAAATAACAGTAATTTAATCTGTAATTTGCACAGTGGATGCAGAATGAAGACAACTCTTATATGGCCTATTTATATGTGTATATATATGTAAGCAGAAGTTTAAATAAATCATAGCCATTGTGAAAATTGAGGTAATGGAATAGCACTTTAGATTATAGTTTCTTAAATCTATGAAAAGACAATAAAAATTGCTTATACATATCCTGTATATATAAGTACTATACTCCAGCACTGTGCTATCTTGAGGTATCAGAATGCTGCAACAGGTCATTCAGAAGCTTTACTGTAAAACTAGCTGCCTGTATGATTATCATCAGCTTTCATCTGCCTAGCTTTAGCATTAGACTGAAAGCCCCATAGACCATAATAAGTAATTTCTACATTTTGTGAAATAGCCTACATTCCTCAGTCTATTTTGCAAAATAATCACAAAATTCCATTTTTCCCCCCCATTATTTTTGTAATTTGGTGTAATGGAAACATTTAGACATTTAGTTTTATGGTGAGAATGTAAAAATTCACAAACTTATTGTTTTATGCCCCACATTATCCCAGACAGGAGAAGGTTAAACACTGCATGAGCAAACCACATGACACAGACACAGTCAAATCACATGACAAATACAGTCACCACATAACAAAGCTAACGGGTAATACAGAGGGCTCAGGTGCATACGGTTACCTCACACACTATAGGCACCAAACATAAAACTCAAACTAAGAAAAATGCTTACTCTATTCCCCACCCTGTGCCTCCAAAAATCACCCCCAAGGCCAGAATGGTCCCTGCCACTGCACCTATTAGCCTGTTAGCAGCCATGCTCACTGTGTGGAGGGAAAAGGGAAGATTTTTAAAAGGAAATTATAACATATATGCTTGAAATGAAAACATGAAATAATTCCTCAAATGAGTACTTTATGCTATAATCCACTGTTGGATAAAACATTTCAAATCTCCTCACAAACCTTTATTTCCCAAATACTGTAGCTTTAAAAATTCTGAAATCAGCTATATTTGGTTTTCTTTGAATGCTTGCAAATATTTCAGTGAGAAGTTTTACTGTAAATGAGACACTATTCCTTTTAAGCTTGTGATTTACTATTTACTTAAAAAAGGGACCGTCCTCAACCTAGTGCTTATTTAAAACAGTCAAAACGTAAACAAATCATCAATAAGAAAACTTCCTTTTGATCTCCAGAAACTCACTGCATCCATAACATAACTAAGCAAATGAAAATTGTTTGGAAACAGTTCCATCCCAGGAAGACAAAACAAAACACCACAACTTTAAAATGAATTCCTTTACTAGTTAGCAGTATTTTAATTTGTTACTGCGTTTATCAATAGCACTTTATTTATCTGTATGACCTAAAGACAGATAACACCTTTTAAAAGCAAAAACCCTACCCTGGAAATATGTTTCAGGTAACAGCCTGGAAATTTTCATATGTTCAGATAGTATCTCTTAAGACATTGAGGCCTTGTATTTAATTTTTAAGGGAATGCTTTTGAGAATAAACATCTGTACATTTCTTATGTTAGAGATTAAAAGTTTGATAGATTCATTGAGTCAGAATAGATCAGAAGAAAGCAGCTGAATTCCCTGTCTAACAGGAACTTTTTCAAGGGACAAAAACTTCATATACTTCATACTGAATAAAGTCTATTTTGAAATGGCCTGGTAATTTTTTTTCCTATTTCATATATATACACACACAAACACACACACATACTTGAGACATAAGTTTTATATTAAAATAAACAAACACTAATCCACTGGTGAAACAAAGGCCTAATTCTGCAAATTAAATTGCAAAGGAAGAATCTTGTGTGCATGTGGAGTCCTGCTGATTTCAAAACCACTAGCCAACACTCTAAAGTCATGCGAAGTTTCTGCAGTACCCAAAAACTAATAGCAATAACTCTTTGTCTTCACCAAACTGCTAGATGCTGTGTAGGTCTGCTAGCACAGGATACAGTAGGTTGCTGAGTTTATAATAATTAAAAAATCATGTATTAATGGCAACATAAGTAAGGACCACTAACTTTTTTAATCCCAAAATACAGAATGGAGCCAAAAGTAATTGATGGATGATGGAAAGTGATGAAGAGTGCAGCAGGAGTAGCAGTCAATTGTCAATTATCATCAATATAAATAAAGACCAATACTTCCTAGCTATACATGCTCCATTTGTAGCAAGAAAAATGCTTGGATTTATGGTGTGAAAAATCTTTAGTCTATTAGATGAATTTTCACAGCATGAGTGTTTTGTTTCTGAACTGTAACAAAATCCAAACTCGTGGCTAAGGTAAAAACAGTATTTTAGTTTCTGTCTCAGACTTTTTAAACTGCCTATGGCACAGGAGAAAAAAAATTAATGAAAACTACTTGAATGTGTTGGATCCTTACAACAGAAAAAACTACTTCTGTATTCTGAAATCTTCTCACAAAGGAATTTCTCTATAAGCGTACAGAGGCTCCTAAATTCATTTTTAGATCATACTACATAAACAAATTACCATAACAACATAAGTAAAAATAATCCATCTTTTGAGATCATTGAGCCACCTTGTACAAAAGCATAGTCTGCCTTTTTTTGCAGAGGACTCCACTGAAAAATGCAGTCTAAACTTTGTACCTACTGGCAGAAATCCATACACATACTATTAATTTCAGGCTTTTCTCCAGAACATTTCAACATTGATATATTCATTTTCATAAAGGTATTTTCATTCTGAATGAGTTAATCTGACTTAGAATGATGTAACCAAGTTATGAGTACCTTCTGATTTGCCCCTCCTATAGAACTTTTTACAGAGGAGGGAATTATTTCTTACCCACAGGATTTGGAAATGAGCAAAATAAAATTCATGTGCTCTCAGTGTCACAGCTGTAGATACTGCTCTCCTCATCCACACACACAGAACTGAACAGCTTTACAATGCTGCTTTCCATTTTCTTAGGACTCTGTAAGCAGTGTTCCACTGTCAGGAAGGTTTTTAGGGGAAATGGAATGACAAATAGCTTTGTAAGGTAGGGTATAAACCAGACAGCTCTACACTGAATAGTGGGTGGGATTAGGAGTCCAGGAAGCAGCTGTACAGATTCCCTAATACAAATCTGGGCTGCTCTAGAGAGCCTCCTTCACAATTGTAACTTGTTTTAAGACAATCTCTTCAACCATTCTCGGTAAAGGTCTACTGGAACCATTCTGCTAAGGGGTAACAGAAAAAGGCACACAAGACTGTAGTAGAGCCATTCTGAAGGGACATACCAAAATCCTGTCCTTCACTGGCCTTGGATATTTTAAAGAGCAATCAATTAAGAGTCTGAACCCTAACGACTACATTTTGAAGCAACTGTATCTTTTTTGTCCTGTAAAAGTGGCAGAAGAACCTGGAACTGGGACATAGCAGAAAACTTGTTTGGGTTTCTCAGCTGTTTATTGGAAACTTTATCTGTAAATGTGTGACACAGAATGAATATAGTCTGATGGCAAACAATGTCCTTGATGACAGGAAAGAAAAAACAGGACAGTACAATCCAAAGACATTCTTTGGCAGAGAAGTCAGAGAGAATCTCATATACTTTTCTTCCTCTTTGAAAATTTTGTGGATTAAGTATTTTCTCAATACCTCCTCTTTGCATGTAGTTGAAATACCTACTAAATACGTAAGAATAAGCAACAATGATTGTAAGAATAATTTAAGTTCTTAAAATTTTAATGTATTTGTTTTTTCTTTCATTGAAATCTGATTTCAAGGAATCTGATTTCAACAGGGACATTCCACTTTTTCCCCTTCTTATGCCACAGCTCTCTGAATTAACTGAGAACAATTAAGGAAATGGAAATCTCTAGTAAAACATAAATACCCAAGTATCATGTAAATAATAAGAGCTACCCTTAGATTCCAACCACAAAGAAAATGATCATAAAAAGTAGAGAATAAGGGACAAAGGAAAAACTATTACCTGTTGAAATCTTCCCTAAATTTATGTTAGAAAAATAAAAGTTTCATCAGTTCTCAAAGTAAAAAAACATATTTCATCTACATGAAGCAGAATTTTTCTGTCTGGGTCGAAACATGACTGTACAATACTATATTCTTTTTATATGCTAATTCTAGTACCATATATCAGAAAATGGTAGGAATGATGGAAAAATGTCATAAATACTTGAAATGACATCAAAACTGAAACATAACACAAACCCTTGGGTCCTTCTTCCTTCTTGGTACCAGTATCCCTGACAGGATCATCAATGCTGCAATCTGTCCCAGCCCAGGAGAAATTACAAATGCAAGTGGCTTCATTACTGCAAACCTGGAAAAGAAAATAAGTGACAGCAGTTAGTTTTTAACTACATTTTAGTAAGTTTATATAACATGTCATTAGATATTTAATTTACAGTATAAAACTCACCCACTTACTCATCTATATATTGTAACAATAGTACTGAGTTTTTGGAATGATATAACACATCAGTAACCCAAAAGTTTGCTTTAATCCTCTAAATACACTCAGCTGCTAGGAAAAGCAGAACTGGTTCTATCATCACTTACACATGACACACCTGCACAGGATGTAAAAGCAGAAATTCTCACATCAAAAAAAACCCCTATCTAGACTACTTAGATCTTCACTAACCACCTCTCTAGATTTTGAGCCTGGATGTCCAGAAGGAATACAAGCATTTGCATTTGAAAAGGTTCAAGACATGGTTATACTTTACAACCTCTCATTTACAGCTTACTCCCATGTAGAACAAAATCAAAACATTTCCATGGGTTTTGTTGGCATTTTTCCTCAGCAGCAATAAGGAGTGCTTGTTTGTCTTCTAAAAGAGAGGTAACAGTTCTTCCTATGGTTACATTTAGTTGAATAACCTCTAGGAAAGGCCTTAGGACTCCATACTTGGCAGTACATTTATCAGATACAGGAAAACCTATCCAACAGACAAAACCTAAAACATGAAATCAATAGTCAGAGTTAATAGCTATGAACTTTCCATATGAAAAAGAACATGGAATGTGTTGCTAGAAGAGGTTATTAAGGGGGAAAAAAAAGCAATACCAGAGCAACAGACATAAAACAAAGAATGAAGTTTTGATTATAGGACTAGAAGTGAAGTCAATCATTAGACAACAGCTAATAATGTCTTTTGGACTCTGGAACACAACATGAAAAAAGCCCAGAAAACAACCTACACACTAATGATTATAAGCAAATAGAACATGTGATTTTTTAAATTTAACTTGTATTGCACTTTGCTTCTTAAAGTACTCACTGAAGAATCTTACCTAAGAAGCTGAAGATAAACACATCTTATGGCAGGTTTGACCACCTGAAATATCCTTGTAAAATCAGGCATTGTAATAGTCCAAAACAAAACAGATAAGATCATTCACTCACCCTTCACGCTACTCTCAAAAAAACACCAGGATGATTTCTAGATCTCGTTAGATCCTTTACTTTCCAATTCTAATTTTTTTCTTCTTCATTTTGAACCTAATCCTCTTCTTTAAAACACTCAATTTTATGTTCAATTACAGACAAGAAGAAAAAAACCCACCTTCTTGTATAAAGTGTAGCCCTTGGGCAAGTATGTGTCCCACTCAATCCCACAGTGGAAAGGTTTTATCAGTATTGAAAACAGTGAATCTGTTCACAAAAACATACCTAAGTCTAAGACAAATGGACTTAAGGGTGGAATAACAGGATAGAATATGCCTTGATGTAAAACAATATGCCTGGGATCTGTTCAAGAAGAATGTGTCCCCTCTGTTGAGGACCCACAGTTTGGAATTTTAATTAAGTCATGAAATATAACTCTATGAACAGAGGACCAACTTTATAAAGGTGTTAGTATGTAGCAAAATGTTTAACTGAAGGTGGCATATAACTTGAAACATGGATAGTACATTATGGAAGTCTTTACAATAACTAATGTCAAAGCTCTTTCTTGCCAGTAAAAACCCCTAACACTTTGGATACAATTGCAGAATTAATCTGACAACTTTGCTTTCTAAAATTCTAAAATCTATGCTTCACAAAATGGCAGTCTTCTCCTGGAAGTGTTTTCAGATCAACAGGTCTTAGGGACACTTTCAGGTAAAGAACTGCACAGGGCACATTAAGATCAGGTACAGCAGAGAGAGCTGGGGAAGCTTAGCTGCTAACTCCCAGTACAGACTCACCCCATGACCAGAACAGACTTTTCCATTAGAACCAATGGGACAGCTGCTTATGTTCAAGGACTGAATTGGCAGGCACTTTTTGTCCAGACACATCATTTGGGGTCCACATGGAGCTCCATCCTCCACGTAACCTAAATCTGTATCATCATCTAAAAGAACATGAGCACCACTAGGAGAAATAAGTTTTAAGATACTATTAGTATTATGACTGGAGTCTTTTGAAAATATTAAAAACATGTCAGCGTACATACTAAAAGCCTCACATCTTTCTTTGACTTAAGGATGACAGACGGAACAAAATTATAAAGTTTCTCTCCCTCCACAGCAATGACAAAGTGTTCCAGTTGTCAAACTAAAACGAAGTTTAGATAATGACTTAAATACTCAAGAAGGGCACCTTAGGCTTTGGGGCTTTATAAGTCTTGGACAGCCCATGCTTTTTTTCTTTTCCCCCCAAATGCTGTGAAATACTATTGCTAGAAAAATATTAACAAACTAACTTCCCACATGATGACATTTAAATAAAAACACTAGTGGAATAATGGAAGCATCAATAATCACTGTTCAATCAGGACCTAACTATGCAAGAGAGTATTCTTAGCATGACAACAATGTTGCCTATGTCCTCAAAATACAAACCTAGTCTTGTGCACAGTAGACTAAAACCCATTTACCTGTCCTTTAACTAAAATGTAGCTTAACATCCTGCCACAATGCTGCAGTTTCCTCCCTCTCAGCCTTCACTTCCCTACAGCTATTTCTCTTGAGCATTTAATACTCAAAATATTTATGTTTAAAAACACAGGTCCTTTGGCAGTTACAGACTTTTTCCACCCTCAGAAACATATAATGGTGAGCATTAAGCTTTGACTGTGAAGTTCTGCTCTTGGAGGGATCAGACAATCAGGAGGATAACCCATATTTCACCCTCTTTAAATGTGGAATATTAGGCTTTTTATGTTTTGGGCTTCTTTTACTCAAAAGAAATACCACTCAGAATAATGGTTTTGCTGCAATATATTAATTACCTAAAATTCACAGAATTTTACACTTATGCTTATCTTAATTCAATTAAGGTTGACAGAGCAAAATCATACTGGAATACTGCATTATCTTTTACCTGCAGTCCACTATGCGTCCTTGATGATAAAAAGAATTTGGGATAATTTCTCCTTGAACTTGACCAACTCGTGGAACTCTAGTAAGATTAGTACAGAGCAAAAAGCCACAGAAAACATCACTGTAAAATGAAAACATCAATCAAAATATTACTAGAATAATATAAGATAAACTTACAAAACAAAGTCTGGCAATGATGCTGCTGAACACAGTAATATATTACCATAAGCCACATGATAGACTTTCAGAGTACAAGCCTGGAAATAAAATATCATTTTATATAAATGACAAGAGGCAGAAGTAATCATTCATTCTAATGCACAAGTGAATGCTCACAGGAACAAAAAAGAAATGTATCTGGGCTCTATGTTCAATACCATATAATTAAGAGGAGCCAAACTGTACAAAGTTTTGTCATGTCAGCCTAAATTACTTTTCCCTCTCTCTAGCAGTTTACATGTCATAAAGGAATGTCAAGTTTGAATTTTTAATTAAATTTTATTTCCCTTGTATGACAGCATAACTGTAATAACAATGATTAGCATGCAGTATGTCTGCCCAAATTTTGGTAAAGAATCTGCTTTATTTTATTTTATATCCACATATATTTAAATATATTTTGTATAAGGTATACAAGATATATTTTATATCTTCAACAGAAGGATATCAGCTTAAAATTTCCAACTCCTATCTAATTGTCCTAAGTCACAGAAGTATCTGGATTAATGCTGGAAATTGCCTTTGTTAAAACTGCTAGAAATTTGAATAGCCCTTCACCTAGACCATTTCCTGCATCTCTCTACCAACAAAGAAAAGCTTTTATACAAATGAGGGATTTAACATAGACATCAGAACAACACTATTCTCATCTAAATATAAAAAAAATCCATTAAAGAACTTATTTCCTTATGATCATATTTGAAAAGTAATTTATAAAAAGCCACTTGACAAACATCATATAGTCAAAGAAGAGAAACACCATTCCACACTTAAAATTTACAAAACAATAAGTAAATCAGGAGAAATATAAGTCTATTCACTAATGATCATTAGCTTGAAAACTAAATTTAATCAAATATCCATCTAGTAATGATCACATGGAAATGAATCAACCCTTTTCTCTACAGCAGCCAAATGTCTAATGGTCCTCTCTGGTAAAAATAAAGGTTGGAACCAACTTGAAACAGCATATTCTGGTATTGGTGCCAGAGTAAGTAAAAATAGGATGTGCATTTGCAGCCTAATTTATCCCTACCAAGTCTGAGGTGTTTGTGTATTATGAACTTTTGACTTTTTGCTGCCTTGTCCCTCAGGCTCCTCTGAAATGATTAAAGTAAGAGTACATTCTTCTGAAAATCTGGAAATCTTTACAAGTGTATTGCTGAGTCACCCATGGATTTGTCAGACTGGAACTTTATGAAGGTACAAACATTGTGAGGGAAAGAAGATTCAAAATAATGCAAAACAAATTGCTGAAACATTCATGAAAAATTAGACAATATTAAACCATTATCAATCTATTTAAAATCCAGATAAACTTTACTAAGCTGAACTTACTGTTTGCTGCACTGAATCCATCGATCTCCATCCTTTCCACAGTTTCCTTTTGTTGTGCCTTCAGTATTAAGCTTTTCATAACAAAATTTGTCAGATCCTGAAGACTCTGTTTGATGAAGAAAGAAAAAAGAAATGTACTTTTCACTGGCAACATGGGAGCTTTGAAACTGCATAATTTATTGCAGCAGTTCTCTGATTTTTTTAATACAAACCATGAATCTAACACCTGTCTATCTGCACAGGTAGTATTTTCCAGTGACTGTGGTGGGAACTCAGCAGACTAAAATGAAATACCTCCCAATGGCTTTTCTAAACTAATGCTCAATGTTCAAAATTTGCACTGAACTTTTAAAAATAGTCTCCACAGTGTCTTCTGCATATGAAATTTAACTGTGGTCTAATTCTGTTGATTTCATAACAGCTGCACATAGATTTACTCTAGTTGTTTTCACTGCAATTATTCCTGTTCTGCATTTCAGAAGATCAAAGATTTTATATATGACATTTATGTTCTGATATCAACTCAATGTTCATTTTAGTCTATTTTTAGGTGTTTACAACAAAACTAAAGTTGAACTGCCAAAGTGTAATTTCTACTTATTTTTAGGAGTAGAAATCTGAACTAATAGGTTTAAACCCACAATTATTTACTAACAAGTTAATGTTTTTTCTAAAAATAAATATAAAAAAAGAAAAAAGAAAGCACAACAATTATATAAAGATGAAATAATAAAGGTAAATAAGACAGAGTAATTTCAGTAAAATCACTTTTACAGAAGACAAACCAAGTATTTTAAAACATAAGTGTGTAAGAGACAAATCAGTTAACAAAAACTGTCATTAAAATCCCCTGAAACATCTGGCTTTGAAACATACCCAAAAATACCTCAAACCCCTTCCCCCAGTAACATTTGCTGCCCTAACTAGGTCTGCAACCACATCACACCAGAACAATCTGTTGACACCAGTCCCAGACTCAGAATTTCACTTGGCAATCAAAGCAGAGTTTCCCACTGCAATCTGCTCTACTGATCAGAAAACTTTAACTTAGAGCAACAAGGACAAAAAATAAAAATTCAAAACAAAGGCAGGAATGAACCAGAAATAGAAAACATTTAAGGTAGTTTAAAGTCAACCTACTAGATCCCCAGATGTATTTGCACTGATTATCTCTTGTCTTGCATTCACCGTTATAGCAACGACCCTAAACAAAACACAACATGTTAGCAATGAGAACTGAACACTCTCATCTCCTTCCCCTCCCACAACAAATGTCTCATTTTGGCTCTTCACACACGTGTTGGGATGTATAATAGTTTTCATGAATTTGGGTGGTGGAGTACACATTTTGGCCCAGATTCGCAAAGCCAGTTTGGTGTCCAACACATACTGACATTTCAGCAGCTGCTTTATACTTCTGATTTCCATAGTTGTAAAGAACTTATGAATATGGAGTGTAATAAAAGATCTACATGTAAAATGCTGAGATACCAAGTGGACTTTTACTCAATGTAGAAATTTTTACTATTCATAGAGTGCATAAAGCACACGCAACATTGATATCCAAAGGATAAAATATATGAAGAAATATGGAAGGCAGGATTAAATAAGAAAACTAACAAAACAACCCCAAAACAAAATGAAAATGTGTGTTTGGTTGTTTTCTATTTGGTGTTGTGCAGGGATTCTAAAACATTGCATACCTGATTAGAATCACAGGCATACCCATCTTGCTTATGAAGATTTGGTGGACACTGAGAAAAAAAAAAAAGTGTTTTTTTTTCATGTGCAATGTAATAATACATCAGAGTATCACATATGGGATTTTCCTAGTTTTTACAACTGCACAACATAAAAAGGGGATAGAGGACATAATTAGTGCAGGAATCTTTATAGCTATAGATACATATGAAGAAAATTAACATGGCCATTAATTTGGTGGCATTCAAAGCCAGGTTGGATAAAGCCTTGAGCAACCTGGTCTAGTGGGAGGTGTCCCTGCCCATGGCAGGGGGTTGGGACTAGATGATCAATTATGTCCATTCCAACCCCTAAAATTTTATGATACTATAAACATTTTGAGCCATGAAATACAAGGTTTGAGTCTAACTTTCTGCATATTCCAAGTAGAAATTACAGAGGTGAGGCAAAATGAAAACAAATGTGCTCAGTAACAGGATACTGGGTAGCCAATACTGGGGCCATGTTTGCAGCACTCCCACTGTGTTCATTTCAGTTCCACTATGAAAGTAAGTGATCCCCTAGTCGTAGCCTACCAGTCTATTGCTTAGAGAGCTTTGGGGGGGGTTTATTATGTTGTTGTGCTCTCTTGGCACTGGAAACTTTTTTGGTATGACCCAGGCACTAGGTCCAGAGGCCACAGATTATTAAAGCTAGGAGCGGACCATTCCCAGAGTTTTTCCTAGTCCAGAAGGGACCTATGAAAATTTGGACATGGTATGCTTGCTGCAATGTACAGTATTAGCCACTATTCTGAGGGCAGCAGCCTTTCTAGCTTAAGAAAGCACTTCTCTCTAAAATATTAGCAATAGCCACTTATCTGTAAGTGTGAATGTCTCAGATGACAATATAAAAAGAAATGATTGTAGATTTATTGGCATCTATAATTTCAGCCAATGCCCAAAAAGAATGTGATCTGCCCTGAATCTTATTTCTCCAAAGCTAAGAACTTGATGCAGTAGATGACTGTGTCAGTTTAAAAGTTCTTACATAAACTTAAAGTTTATATAAATAGAATATATACTCAGTATTGAAAAGAAGCATCTATCACCTAAAGCATCAAAGTTCCTGTGAAAATGGAAAATGTACAGAATGTTGACTATTTCAAAGAACTCAGGTTAAACCAACATTTTAGTTGCTGTTTATTCCTATACTTTTGTGTATTAGCCAAATATTTTCAAGAGACATATGACAGATTTACAGCTTTTAAAATTCTCATACGTGTGCACACTCTTAAAAAACATAACACTTTATACAAGTCTTACAAGGAGCAATTGAGTGAGCTGGGGGTGTTCAGTCTAGAGAAGAGGAGGCTCAGGGAGGACCTTCTTGCTCTCTACAACTACCTGAAAGGAGGCTGTCCTACAACCACCTGAAAGGTGGGGGTCAGTCTCCTCTCCCCAGTGAATAAATGACAGGACGAGTGGAAATGGCCTCAAGTTGTACCAGGGGAGGTTTAGATTGGCTATTAGGAAGCATTTCTTCACCAAAAGGGTTGTCAAGCATTGGAATAGGCTGTGCAGAGAACTGGTGGAATCACTGTCCTTGAAGGTATTTATAAGACATGTAGATGTGTCACTTAAGGACATGGTTTAGTGCTGGATTTGGCAGTGCTGGGCTAGAGGTTACACTCAATGATCTTGAAGGTCTTTTCCAACGTAAATGATTCTATGTTTCTACACCAAATTAGTTGCAATTTTCTATATTTGCATTTTAAACTATTTTATTTCATGAAATCTCATTGCTATTACCTGTGAATCACATTTACAGTATATTCTTATTATTTAAGTTATAGAACAGGCAAAGAGTAAAGGAGGATGTCTGACACAAACATTATACAGATACACAAAACCCCATGAGCTGTAAAAAACAAACCTAGAGAAGTCATATCTTGAGTCCACTTAGATTATATTTTTGTGCATTTACAATCGTTCATCCTTATGTTTAAAATTTTATTTTAAAATACCCACACACCCCATTATTTTGGATATATGAATATGCAGTTTGTTAATCCAATTTTCCTCTTCAATGAATACAAAACAAAAGAGTGGAAACAAACATCAATAGTGTCAGCAGAGAAAGTTTCTGCATACATACCTGTCCAGAATCTCCAGTGCAGAACTCTGCAATATCACACTCATTCACTGCATATCGACAGTCATAACCTCGTGGGAAAAACTAGAAAATCAAGAATATAGTTCAGGACTAAGATTACAACTACTAAAGCTGCTCCTTTTCATTCTACCTAAAACACACTTTGAACTTTGGCAGGCTGCACATGACTTCCATGGACAGCTGAAAAGATCAATAGATATATGGCAGCAACACTCACAAGACACGATGTATTACAGCAGGGTCCATCACTACAATGAGCTCCATTAGAAAGAGAGCACTTCTTACAACAGTCTGCATAGCATTCCTGAAGGAAATATTAAGAAAAAGTTTTAAGCAAGTTTTTTCTTCACAATCTTTCCAACAAACTATTATGTGCTAGCAGACAAAAGATTCAGTTTAGCAGAAATTATCAGACCTGAAATCATCAGCTGGAAGAAGTCTTTGCAATAGTCAGATAATAAAGGGGGGAAAAATGACATATAATGCTGTAGCAACACAGGGATTCACATCATCTGAAGGCACTTCACAGGTATGGAATAGCCTGTGCCAAATGCAGGCTGCTTAGTCAAATTGTATTCAATGCAGACAAAAAAAGATTAAGAAAACTAATTACGGGTGCAATTATAGTTAAATACTATAACTAGGGCATATTTTTGTGAAAACATTATTGGAGTATTTCTACAATAGAGAAGAAAACAACAGTTTACTTCTGTCTGAGCACAGGCACCTATCTCCAAAGCATTGATATGGACTATCACTCTAGGCATGCTATCCAGAAAAGTGAAGGGTTAAGCACTTCTCCAGTGCAACTCAAAAACTGCTGGGAAACAGCTACATCTTTTTGTTTGTCTAACAGGAACTGTTTTGAGGACATTCTCTGCACTCCTTCTCATTTGAAAAAATGTTTTAACACAGTCTTCTAAAGAAAACAATAGGCAAACCAAATTAATTTCCATAACGTTTTCCCTATCCTTTACCAATCACTTAATTTAACTTAATATATTTCATAAGAAAGGCTTCTGGGGTAACATAAAACTCTACTTACCATTCGGAAACCACAATCGCATTCTTCTCCCGCTTCTACATATCCATTTCCACACTCTGTGGTTTCAAAGAGCTGAAAGAAAAAAAGCCCCAACCCCAAAGTAAGAATACAATAGTGCCAAATGTCTTTTCTGTCTCACAGAGCTGGTTTCCGTGATGCTACAGAAACATGCTGCACAGACAATGCACAGGTCATGCAAAGACAGTGTAGTTTTTCAAGTGCTGCTAGTCAGAATTGTTCAGACATGAATGATGTACAACTAAGTCACAGGAGTGACAGTCCTCTTTAGGGGAATACTGATCTCAGAAAATTATGATTATCAGAGAGACACTGCAGAAATACACAATAGGATAACATTTGAACTTCATTCCTGTTCTACAGACTCCCAGTTCTCTGACAATTCCTTCAAGAAACCAGTCCACAACTCCATCTCTGGGACCTACTCAGGTACTCATACTTGCTCATCGAATTAGCTACTGTGTGTTCCTGTGTAACATGTTTCTGCATGAAAATAATAAACACTAAGAAACACTGCCAAAAGAAAGTTCTATGTGCCTTATTAGTATGCCAGAATAACACACCCACATACAGTGCTGAACAGCTAATGCTTGAACCAGGTATGTATAATACAGACAGATTCTACAGTTCAGTGTGTTACAGATTCTATACTGATTTCACATATCATAATTTTGATTAAAGATATTTTTCAGTCTTATCACAAATAATTTTGCAAAAATCTTACCTGTTTTCAATATAATTCTGCTCTAAAATCATATAAGACTGTCAGGAATCTCCAGTCAAACTGGGATATTACCAACAGAAACATATTCACTAGAACATGGTTGAAGTGAGAAGTTAACAACATAAAATGAGAACAGATAAATCTACACCTAGATAAGTGTGAAAGATGCAAGTAAACATGTTCTTTCTGCATGGGCTTAGTGGAAGTACTGCTGTTGAGGAGCATCAAAATATGAAACATAACATAGAATAGAAATTATTTATAAACTTGGATGGAATTCTTTGGTACTGTGGGGGGAGGGACAGGGAGGAATCATAATGCCTAATAAAACAGAAATAAAAAATTTTACTCTCTTTGCATAAACCACATAGGTAATCTTTAGCACCTACAATTTTGGGTGCCAGAAGCAAAACTACACAGAAGCAATACCCACATGTACTCTTCTTCACTAGTAATGTTAAAACAACCCTGGAATTTCTCTCTTTTTTTATCCTCCTGTTTCTACTACAGGGGAAACAGCAAGATCTCTTATTCTGAACCTGAAATTCAGTTCTTTATCAAAGACGAAAACAACAGAACACAAGAAGGCACACACAGATTTCCCACAGCATTAATCAGGAGCCACCTAATGTTCGTAGAGATGTCTGAGCATAACTCGAGTTATCATTTAAAAAATGACATTGTGGTGACTGCTTAACAACAACTATGTTTTATTTTCCTAAAGATTAAACATACCATTTTCTACCTTACCTCCTAACCTCCAAATAACAGGATTATAAAGACTGTGTGATTATTTTTTACCTCCAAATTAGTTCAACTTCAAAACTGTGAAACAGTGACACAGATAATACACAAAGATAATTCAACCATTATCTTGGGAGCATTTTCCCAAAAGTAAATCAGGCTTTTTATTCTGTATACAGTCAAATTGACAACTTCTTCACATTATTTTGCTAGACAACTATCATTAAAAAATGAAGCTGTGTTTTTCTATTTCCCTACTTAATCCTTTCTGTGAGCAAAGAGTGCTACCCTGGGAAAAGATTCAAAACCACTCTAACAAGCAAATTTTTTTTTAGTTAATTGTGCAAGGTAATGGTCCACCAAAGGATACAGCACAGTAAACAAAGCAGCCTAATAGCCTCATGTGGCATTACATTCTACAAGGACAGCAAGTTTGACACCATGATTAAATAGAATATTAATACTTTGGATTGCTCTTACTTGGCAAAAAGGGCCACATGGAGTATTTTTATACCAGTGTTAGAAAAATGTCATGCTAACATTGCCTTTGAGAAAATTATGACCTTGGTAAGTTTTTAGGTGAAAAAAAGCAATGGAAACAGTTATGGATTTCAGAGTTCGCTAGATGTACAGTTGAAATGAAATGAAGTTAACTTTGAGAACAACCACAAGCTACTACTGTTTGTATGAAATGAGCTATGGATTTCTATTGCCTAGTGTGGTAACCCATATTCTTTTTACACCCTCAGGCAAAAAGTCTAAAAATTGATTGTATGTGGAGCATACACTATGGCCTCACTTCTAGATTTATTTTGCACTACTTCCAGCTTCATAAGTAGTGCATTTATACTGAATGGGGATGTAGCTAGCTGTGAAAAATCAACTGCAATATTTGTAACTATTTGAGCATGAAGAATTGATGGAAATCAAGTTGCATTCCTCTCAATATTATTTTTAAATGCTATGGGAATGAACAATCAGCTAATTACAAACAACCTCAAGAAAATAACCACATAGCCATTAGAATAAATTTCAGAACAGATGTATGGTAGTGAAATTATTACATTTTCATGACAATGTTCAGCAGACATGCTGACTACCAACTTATTTATTACCTTTGTTGGCCTGTTAAAAAGACAAGCACCTCCCCCACGAAGCAAAAATTCTTTGTATTCTGCAATGCTGCATTTGGAGAATTTTCTGGGATGGTATACCCTAAAATGGCAAAGAATCAGCTAAGTAAATGCCTTGAAACACCAACTGGAAGGGGGCAAAGGGGTCACAACATTTTTTCATCACTGTAAATCCCAGTTTCTTACAACCACTGTGCAATAGTATGAGAGCTCAGTCTTATTCTCCAACAATAAAATCAGAACAAAATAAAAAAGTTTTAAAACATTTTGCAGTTTTATATTTCTACTTTATGATTGTACAGTGTATAAAACTGTAGTCTTTTTTTTAATAAGGTGAAACCACACTACCATAATAGCTGCTATGCACCCTCTCAATTCCATGTATAACCCAGTGTCCTCTTGGGTTTGTTTTTAGCATCTACAAGATGCTATAGCAAGACGTTTCACAGCTTAATTACAGCCTGGTAGAAGAACAATTTCATCTCAGTTTTTCTGTCATATTTGCTAATCTCATTTGGTCTCCCTAATTCTTACACTGGAAGAAACAGTAATCATTTGTTCATGATGTTTCAGACTTATATTTCCTCACCTCTATCTTTTTCTCAGCCTAAGGAAAATCTACTTTATTAGTTGTTTCTAACACAAACTGTCTGATACTTTTATTGGTTGTGTTTTGAGATCTGGAAATGAGATGTATTCACACTATTAAAGATGGGGGTAAAATGCCACAAGGAGCTTCTCCACTCCTTTCCTAGCAGCTCACTGCTACCAAACTGCCATTTCCCCATTGAATTCTTCTCTCTATAAAAAATGTCTCCTGACACTGATGGAGTTAAGTGAAAACGCTTTACACTGCAGCAAATTATTCACTCATTTCAGTAGTCAGTCCTTTTTCAGCCTCTGGGTGGCCATCCTCTGCTCCTGGCATTTTTGTCTACTGTCACATTTTCTACAGAAGAGGCTTGTTCCACAACTTTGCTGAGTTCACCATGGGAAGGGAGCCACTATTTATTATGATCAATGCCTTACTTCAGATCCCAGGAGCAAAGTTACTGCATGATTTTCTGTTGCATTCATAGAGTGGCTGACAATTATAAGTCTACGGGGAAGCCACACAATAATTCTACTGAAGAACCAATTTCCAGATACCATATGAGGAAACTAAGCTCCTTCTATCTTTTTTTGTAACTAATTTTCTCCCTGATTTTTGCAATCAGGCTTTCACAGTGAGCAAAATTCTGACAGAAAGTGATTTATAAGACTCAAACCCCTATGTTTAAGAAGCTATCCTTTTCTAATTGTTTACAGTATAGAGAAAAGAATTTCTGGCAGTGCGTGAGGGTAGAGGGCAATGAAATTCCTCCTATATAGATGTGCTTCCCCCTCAGACTTCACTGACCGTATAGCTAAGGATTGAGCTCCAACTGCTTCTAGTTTTTCATTTATTTATACTAAAACACATGGATAAAACCCAATACATAAATATTTATGTCATAATGTAAACTATGAACTCATTCCAGAGTCCTCAATTACTGATGTTTATGACATACCCTGTTTCCTCCATGATGCAACCACCCCAGGTTTCAGTGCAGTCACACTCTTCTCAGACAAGTCCAAAATACAACAGAAAAGGAAAGAAGTTATAAATATGCTTACAATAAATATAAAGTACTCGCTATAAAAATGGACCTTGACTAATTATACAAAAATCTGATAGTTGCTTGGCTGTCCCAGTTCTAGCCCCAAAAAGGAAACCAGCCCACTTGAAGAGATACTAACATATTTAATAAATGCAGTACTTTCAAAATACCATATGTGCATGTTCTTAGACTCAACACAAAGTTTCAGGCAGTATAGAAAGCTAAAAATAGTTGGCAATATTATGCCCTACATGTTCTCAAAACAGACAGCACAAGACTATGTGCAATACACATAATACTGATGATTTAAAATGTTCATATTTCCTCCTCCCTAAAATGTGTACAGAACACCCTGAAAGAGAACTATTACTGGACAGGACAGGTTTTTTTTCCCTTTGGAATAGAATTACTAATACTAATATGCAAATCAGCCAATCAAACATTCATTAGAAAAAGTAGTTGAATGAAAATGGATTTACAGTTTACTTACAGCTATAGCATGTAAGTCAACAGTCACCAAATTCATAACATAAAAGCAAAAGATCAACACATTATGGTTGGTAAAACAGAAGGTATAAACTACCCATAAAAATGATCTACCAAAGAAGTAATGTTTTCTAGAAGAAATGTTCTGTATTGTAGTAACTACTGCAAACCTCTATCTTACACCAAAAAAAAATCTGATTTCCAAATTACATGAAATGTTTTACCTGTGATCAAAAAACAATGACATAGAATATACTTCAGCTATTTGCCAGTTTACACAATTCAAAAGCAATGCTTTACAAAACAACATTCCCTGAACATTGTTTCCCAATCCACAGATTTTTGAAGTGATTCCAAAATAAAGTCAGCATTATCATATCATTTTTTAAAGAGTAAACAAAGAAAAAAGGTAGCCAAACTGCTTACAAATTGCAAGCAAAAACCCTCAACAATTTTCTTAAGCCCAAGAAAGGGCTTTGCAGCACCTTTTGCACTGACACTCTACATGTGTTAGGGCCACACAAATCTAATCTGCCTGTAAAGCAGCAAGGTAACAAGTTGAGCAAATGACACACTAGACTAGGTTACAGTTTCTTACCATTTCTAACCACTTCATAAGTCAGGTATTTTTGCATTTTAACAAGTCAATGATAGTTCTATAGGGTTTACAGATTTCATTAGGCTAGAAAAGGAGTTCTAAATTAAATTGATGGTGTTTTTACCAATACGTTGTTTATTAATCTAACCTCCTGACACATTGCAAAATAAGAGCTAAACTGGTGGCTCTTATTTTGGTTAAACTCAAATTTTGGTGCATATATTTCCAAAAGCAGCAATTCTTGCTCTACAATTGCAGCAATTTTGGCATTTCTCTCAGACATTACAAAGGAATAGTTTAGATATTTAGCTAAGGAGGACAAAAGAAGACTGCACATCCATGTACATACTCGGTTTCCTGGTAGCTGGCTCCCATTGTATTCCAAGGTTCTGAGCAAGACTTTGTGCCAGTTCCTGTGCCATGGGCAAAGGGAGGCCATACTGTATTTCAAGAGGAGCACAATTTAAAAAAGACCATAAAAAGAGAAAACATTAGTTCATGTAACAAATACTACACTGGCTCATTCTGGCTTCCCACAGACCTACTACTTCAGTAATTCTGTACAGTCAATCACAATTCTGAGTGCATGTAAGGAAAAGAAACTCGAAGCACATAAAAAGTTTTTCCTCTCTTAACCTCAGGGAATCTTTCCCCACTGGTTAACCTAAAGAACAAAGTCTATTTGATATATATAAGCAATACAGTTTTGTATAGTACAATTGATCCATGTTAAAAAGGGAGACTTTCATTATCAATTTAACACTGCACTGAGGGGGAAAAAAAGATAATGGCAATAACAAAAAAATCAATACACAGGAAAAAACATGTTTCTGGTTTCAATGTTACAAAAAACCAGTAAGAACATTTCATGTCATTGTCATCACAGAAGATCAAGTCTCTTACAGTCAGAAGAGCCAAAAAGATATTCAGTGCTGCATTCCAAATACTCCTGTCTGATATTCTGGGGTCTAAATTTCTGTCGAATATACTAAAAGCCAATTTAAGTTCTTTTTAAGAGAATAATACAGACAGGAGGGATGCTTTTTAAAAAGAAAAGTGCACTGAACAGTAGTTTAATGATGATCAAGAAGGTTGGCTGTGAGAATCCTAACTTTTTAATGTGTGAGTTGTCTTTAAAGTCCTGAAAACCAAAACATGTACAGATTCTATTTTATTTCACTTTAGTTATGAAAAAATAACCCAAAAAATTACCTCATTCACTCCCACTCCTCTGGCCACAGAGCAAACCCCTCCAAAGTAACTTAAGCTGCTTCTTTTGTAGTGAAATGTCACATTCCTTGCAAACAAATACAAAGAAAATACAAACACACTGATATTGGTCACCATATCATACTCTCATGCATACTATGATCAATGCATGTACATTCATCTTCTAGCATCAAAAGCTGAAAGACATGAGATATAAGCTTTGACGAAAATACTATTTTTATCTTGTAGAGTCAAAATCAGTCCCAACCCACAAACAAATCAAGCACAGAAAACTAGAGTACCAGACTCATAAGGCAATACAACAATAACATTTCTTTTAAAAAATAATATATTTCAATTTAGAATTTGTCGGGAAGGAATTCTCTTCTGAAATGTATCCATGTTGAGAAATTTTTAAATTATCATCTTAATCCAAACCAATTCAAGTTCTAGTTTCAACTCCAAATAAAAAGATTGAGAAGTATACCTAAATAGAAAGGAATTTAATACTGCTTTTTAACATTTCCTCCTTTCATTTCTTGTTAATAAGCCCCAAATAATTTACTTCAGTTATGCAAACTGGAAGATCTAAATTATTCTATAAAATTCCTATAAATTGCTTTGAATGATACCTATTTTAATTCATAGTCATAATAATAAATCCACACAGCCTACAAATGACCTACAATGACCCTACAGGATCTACAACTGACGAACCTCTGAAAATTAAATCCTTCTATAATAGCAGAGTCAATGCCACTTTTTTTTTCATTTTTTAAGTGACAGAATACTCCACACAGGCATGTATTTATTTTTCAGAACATCCTGAGAGCCATGAGAACTGCAGCTTAACTAAACACTTACAGCTGGGTGCTTTACAATAGACAAAACTGCAGTAAGGGCTGAGGCCAACAGGCACTTCTGGAAGTGGTCTATTTCACCCCTCCTCACTCCAAGGAGGCTCACTGGAGAAGGCTGCTCAGGGCCATGGCTGATTGGCTTTGGAATATCTCCAAGCATGTACACTCCACAGCCTCTATGGGCAACCTGTTCCAGCATCTGATCACCTTCACAGTGAAAGGGTTGGAGATTTTTTCCTATGTTTAAATGGAATTTCCTCTATTTCAGGTACCTCTGAGAAGAGCCTGTCTGCTCTTGCTGGAAAGCTCTTCAGCAAGTGACATGATACAGGCAGAAAAGTAATTAAGAGTGCATGTCAGCAGCCATTTGACTATATTATGAAGAATGCAATTAGCATTGTGTTGTGAGGCCTGTATTAAGGAAATCTGGAGGAAATTGTTCATTTCCTATTTTCATCTTCCACTGCAGAAGATCAATTATAGGAGAATCCCATGGAAGATATTCATCACTCCATCCCCATAGTCTGTCATGCTGCTGGGAGATGGCTTAGTATCTTTATGCTGCACAGGGGAACACACATTTCCTCTTTGCTTAAAATACCGTGAAGTAAAAAATACTTGCTCAAGGTTGAAGTTGTGCCTAATGATGCAAGTGGAATTTCCCCTCAAAACACATTGTGTCTCTGAGAGTAATTCATTACAGCTATAAACGAGGAGACCTTCCACTAACAAATCATCACTGCAGCTACATGTGTGGAAAACAATCTGCTTAACTGGAATGATCTTCTGGCAACACATAATAGTGTCAGCTCTGCCCTCTCCTGCTCTTTGCTGGGAAAGCAGTACATTACACACCTCATTAGCAAAGCTAGGTGCCATCAGAAGACACTTCAAATGTGTGACACCGTCTCCAGGTTGCAAAGACACTCAAATTTCATTATAGATTAGATCAACATGACCATGGCATATACTACACCTTTTAAAAACAGGCTAACATGTTACATATGGATTAAGCTTCCTAAGGAAGGTTGATTGATGTAGTGACTACCAAACAAAAAAAGGTAAGAAAGCTGACAAGAGCAGTAGTCAGAAAAATATATCAAACTGCAATATTCTCAGCCATCCCGTGGTGGTACATACGAGAGCAGGTGCACAGCATCCGCATGCTGTTTGATGTAGTGCTGTCGGTACTTGGAGAAATCATGAAGCATCTGCAGAGGGTCAGGGCGAATATTAATACGATCTCTGTCTGTCCAAGTTTCCACAGCAACAAGAACCACCCTCGTGTTCAGCTGTTCCTTGTATATCTGAGGGCAGAGACAGGACAGGCACAGGAGTAGAACACTGGGTCAAACATGCACAGTTAGCCAGTAAGAGTAAAGCGGAAGGACAAGAGGGATAAAGCAGGAGGAAAATATGGGGAAACAGTTAGCTGGTAATGCCTTGGACTTCCTAAAGGTTAGTATTCTGATCAACCTAAATTTTGTTTTAGAGAACAAAAACAACCCTTCCTGCTCTTTTATTTTTTTAGCTACTCCATTTTCTTTAAAATTCTCACACCAAATAATTTTTTCACTGAATTTTGCAGAAAACCTGTACAAAAATCAGCACAGAAGAAATGTAAAGGTGCATAGCTCAAAGGAAATGAAAAAAAGAAAGATCTCAAAGACAAAGAACAGCCAAAGACAATTCTGAAGTCAAGATTGAAAAATTTCTCAGTTCTCCAATACATCCGAAGTTTAATTTGCATAATACTTGATTTCCATTTATATAGTATGATCAAGAATTAAGCAAAGATATTAATTTTACTATTAATTTTAATTTCACTGTAGACAAGGAAACAACAATCAGACCCTAATAACAAAACAGTTTTAAAATACGCATCTTAATTTAGTGCATGGTACTTGATTCTGACATAAAACTGCTGCTCTCTTTAGGTTCAGGTCCAAAAATGTCAAATTTTATTAACTAAGGTTAGGCAGAACTTGCAGATCTACAAAAGATGCATTCCTCATCCACCCTGACTAGATAGACAGGCTTTTGTATCACGGCAGTATTTTCCTTACTAAAAAGCCAATGTATAATATTCAGCTTAGAAAAAAACCCAAACAATAAATATAGGAGCAAGCGAGAGCAACCAGATAAGGTCCACTTTGCCCAAGACCTTTGAAGGAAAAGAGTATTATCCTGCTTCAACCTGAGGAGACATGCTGAGAACATACACAGAAGCCCCCTGAAATTACATATGGGATCAGTAAAGTCTTTACTTCTGTTTGCTGAGAGGAAAACTGTCTTTCCTGAAGCAAACAGGAAGGAAAGAATGGAAGAGGGGGCAGAGAATGTGAAATCTTCTGACAGCCAATATCCTTTTTCAAATAATAAATCAATAAGAAATATAGCCCATTCCTTATGGACACAAAGGAGTAACAAGAATAACAAGGAAGAAATTCCTGCTCCTTTTCATGCCTTATTTAAAGATAAGATGTCATTTCGTAAGATCTCTATGAGGGAACTGAATTCTACACTGGACTGAAGCTGAATGTTTCTGCATGTACACAGAGCAAAGAAAAATGGAAAACCAGACAGAATAGTCAGCAAAAGGAAGGACAGATGAAATAACACTTGTTAAAATACAGAAGAAATACAAATAAATGATGATCAGATGAGGAAAAAATAAATGTGCCACATTTCCTTTGGGACTGTCCAATATAAATTGCAGAAATATTATATCAATTATTTATATTTTTTGTCTGCTCTAGGAGCTTTTCTTTAGACTACTAGCATTTCCAGACCATTACAAAAAAATATTCCAAAACAGTTCCAGCATTTCATGTATTATAAATATATTCACCTAGATTTTCAATATACATACAGTATATTTTAAATGCAAGAACAAATACTGTATTTCTTCCTCTGAGCCAAACAAACTGTTGACAATGTTTTGCACTGGATTATATCACTCAGTTCTATTGGTATCAAAGAGTCAGCAATTTGGTAGCCTTACTAGAGAATCTATCCTGTTTTCACTACAACCAGAGCTCTGAAATGTATATCGTCATTGTATCTATATCAAAAAGAGAATTGCCCACGAATTTTACCACAAATATTACTTTTAGTTTATACACTGTATAGAAAATTGTTCTAAATTTAGTCACAGATACAAGTAGGGTATCTGTGTCACTTCCACCAATTTATGATGCACTGCAGTGGGATTCTGTATGTTTTCAAGCTATAAATACAGATTTATAAAGGAGAATTTTTACTCATGCTCTCTTTTTCTCCCAATAGATATGTGCATACTTTGTGAACTATACTCACAGTTTCAATCACTTGTAGTTAGATTTGTTTCACAAATCTAAACTTGATTAAATCTCATTCTTAATTGGTGACTGGTACTGAAGTCTCCTTTAAGTTTGAAATCACCCCTGCCACAGGCAAACCTCTGGCAGCTGCAAGTTTTGAGAAAAATGCCATGGATAATCTGGTGGTTTCTTATACATTCACCCCAGGCTATTCTTCTGCAGAGGCACTGGAAATGCACTTCCAAATGTAATTTTTATAGCTGACATTTGTTTTTTTTATCCTGGTATCTGAAAATGTTAACTATCTGAAAATGTTAACATTTTTAACACAGTGCTGAACTAAAGCCAGTGTTCAGAGGAAACATTGATACTTACAGCATCTACAAGGTTTACCACAGACTTTGCAAAATTGTTTGTGTATGCATTTGAAGAACGGTGCCTTTTGAACTGAAAGGAGAAAAGAAAGTAGAACACAGAACTTAAATATTTATTACTAATTCTTTATTTTTACAGCATGAAAGGAAAATTAATATTTTAAGAAAGAGTAAGGGAAAAAACTCAACAAGCTTTTCAGATTATAGCCTATCTCTCATATTCAAGAATCCCTGGAAGATAAAGGAAGCCATGCATGCTAGACAGCCTTTCACATCTGGAAAAGAAGCATTTAGCCACAAAAAATACTGTATTTAGAATCAGAATTCAAGTGTTTGAGACAAAATTACAGGTAAACTTGAAGATAAACATGAGCTCAAAATTGAGAGAATACTGTACACATTAAAACTGTGCTTAACCAGATGAGTTACGTATCAGACTGTACTAGCCACATTGCAAGACTCTAATTATAACATACGAAGATGAAGCATTTACCCCTTGTCCTGTGTACAGCTCTTTGCAAAGGCATCCTTTCTCTACAATAGCACAAGACTTTTATGGTAAGTAGCATCAGTTACATCAAAAATCAAAATGAAAGAGGGAATGCATGGTGAAAGTAAACACGTGTTAGAATGCAAGAAGAGTTAAGCTGAATATCTTAAGCTTTAACTTCAATATTTTTTTTATTTTTATAGACTTAGATGAGATGTATTACAAGTTCTGCTTCCTAGTTTCTATGCATGTCATTATAATGGCTTCATGTCTTTCCTCATCCTGCCCCACAAGTCCCTACTGTTTCAAGACAAACCTAAAGATGCAGCTATGGTATCCGAACACGAATTCATGACTTTCAATAAACTGTAAAATTATAAATCAAAATTACATTACACAATATGATTTGCAGACAGGAAAAGTAAGCCTTCAGAATGTCACAGAAAAGGAACACAAAATTGCTTAGAACAAAGAGGACAAAAAGTCTTCAGCAAAAAACTCTTTCTATTTCAACTACTGGTTAAAGGCAACAAATCTCTCACCTCACAAGCAAACATTATCAGGTTCCATGAAAGTGTCAGCTATTCCCACTATGAAACATAGTACTTCAAAAGGGGCCTTGAAACAAGAAGGTCTAACTCTTTTCTGAGCAATTGCGTAGTTAGTCTCATCATATAACTCAGATTATTAACTACCTTCCCAAATTAGAATTGCAAAACAGATAAATCCACTGTTTTCCAGAATTCTGCTTGGTGCAAAGGTGAAAGTAACACTGGAAACATATATGATTTTAAAATTAAGCTGTTTCTGAAATTGAAAGTACACACACATGACATACATTACTAGATATGAAATTATCCATCCCTTTAAATTCCACTTATTTTTGCACAAGCAACTTAGTTTTACATTGACAAAGTGCCATAGAAATGAAAAGAAGTTCATCAAACTTAATGATGGCTCTTACTCATTTGACTGCTGGAAGATCATTTTTTTTTACATATGCAGTTATTCACTGTTAAGTTCCACAGTGCTTTAGCACAACCACAGCAGGTTTTAGCACACAAGATCCTACAATAGAGGTTTTCAAAGACCAACTCCCCTGTAGCTATTCTCAAAACCAGGCACTTTCAGGTACAGTGCTAGTAGGGAATTAGGATGTACACTGAAAAGATAACTCATTTCACACAACTCTGCTCCCTAGGGAACCACAATAATGGGGGAGCAGGAAAGACTTTGTCTTTTTGTTTTGAGTCAATCCCAAGCCTTTCCAGAAGTGGAAAGCAAAATAATATGCTTTGGAAAATGTTCTTGGTTTTCATAAAAGTACTGAAATGCTAAAATCAATAGCAACATACCACATAATGTGTTTAAACACAGTTCCTAAAACAGAAATTAATCTAAGCCAGTAAAAAGTGCAATGACCTAATTAAATATGTTCAACTGTTTCTTTAGTGCTACAGGAAATGAAAATGTTGTAAAAATACATAATATTAACCACTTAATACACCAGTCAAAGAAGTCTGAGATACTATTTCCAACAGACTCTTGCTGCAGAGGAAACCTGCCCTCTCCTGGTAAGCAGAAAACCTTGAAAGCACATTTTGTGAGCTCCTGGACTGGCAGGCTGTGGCTCCTGAATGTGAACACATCCTTAAGTATATCCACTTTATTCCTTGGAAAGAATTATTATCTGCTTCTGAGTCACTAAGAACTCTGAAACAAAACATCTTTGGTCTAAATTTCTAAGAAATAGAGCATGAGAGGAGACAACAGTTAGTGTCTGTAACAAGTGTAGTGGTTGTCCTTCAAGCATGTCTGTAATAAAAGAGGCCAGAGGAAACAGACATAGAAATATTATCTATTCATAAGAAACATCAACCACAGATGTCAAACAAGATAGCAAAATGGCTACAACTTCAGTTACTGTGCCCTACCTCTAAAGAACGAACACCTGAACACTCAGAATAGTTTCCTACCAGGTAGTTTTACAAACAAAACAGCTCAAGGAATTTTCTCCCACTTGAATTCCCTCCACATTGCTGAATTAACACTAGTTACATAGGCTATTTTTGCCCAGACTACTTGTATGATTTATGAGACATATGAGGGAATGGTATATTATCTGTCTATACAGCATTGGAACAAGTACAAAATACTGCATCCTGTTCTGATATCTGCTATTCCTGGCTCTTAAAAATTATCTTTCAGTGTTGACAAAACTGCCCACAACAACATAAAACATTGGAAAAACATGCAGTAGAGAGATGCAATGAGCTCTCTATTTGAATCATTATGAATGCTGTTGATAAGTGTAGAATAGCCAGGACGAACAATGAGATAGTTTTGGCCATATGTTTTACTGAATTAAAATTTAAGTTAGTAAAACTAAACTCCAAGTAAGAAGTTCTGACCTCTTTCGTTATAACTTTAAGGAGAGGGTGTAATTTTAGAATGTTCAGTGTGTTTGGTAAATGTTTTGTTGCTTTTCTTTGTTGGTTATATTAAATTATCCAGATGACACCAAAGTACTTCAGAGATGTATTTTGAGCATATAACTGCCATAGAAAATCTTAGGTAACATTCAGCTTCATTAGGTCTCTTACAGTACAAATGTTAATAGCTGCTGATAAACCAAATACTTGAGCCAAAAGTAGCTGATGCAGCACAGTGCTGTACATCAACCTACAAATTATCATCCAAAGGAATATTCCCACTGAGCTGACATGCTTACCATTTTATGGTCATTGACTATCATGAGCTCCAAGTATTTCATTTCTTCAAAGACACCACGAGATATCTGATGGATTAAAAAATTCTTTGAGAAATCATGAAGATGTAGTGATTTTCAAAGATAACTGCAGCTGATTTATATTATATATACACATTACATACATATTATGTAGGGCGTGTAAACCTGTAAAAAACTGGGTCAGACATTCAACTAGGGTAAAGAACCATAGCTCCAGTAACTTTGTGAGTTACGACAGACACTGGCAGAGAATCTGAGTCACATCATTAAGAGTGTTCAGGGTCTATTCTTTTTGGTCCAGCACAGCCACCACCACTACTTCCCTCCTCTATTCATCACAGATTTAATGAGGAAGGAAGTAACTAAAAGCAGATGTGCCCTCAAAAACATGCTGTAGATTGTGTAACTCAGTGAAGAAATAGAGATTAGTCTTCTTTAACTCAGTTATTTCCCTGACACACAAGCATGTGAAGATCAGGAGGACTGCCCACTTATGTCCTCTCAGTAACCCAGTTCTGGGTGACCTCATTTAAATTTTTGATTTAATCATCTACTTAATGAGCCAAATGAAAAAAAATCAGATATCTACAAAGTAGCAAGATTTCATTCAAAATTATTCTTTATCTTCAATCAGACCCAAAATTTAAAATTCTAAACTCATTTTCACTACTAAATTTTCATTTAATTGATGCATAGTATTGCTGTCACTTTAGAAAGTTTATCAACTTTTCTCCAAATATTCTACTTTTAAAGAACAATCTTGTTTTATCCTTGTGTGACAATATTAAGCTACTAAAGACAATTTCCTAAAGTCTATATTCTCTTGACACTAAAAAATACAGAAATTAATGGGTATGGGTTTGGTTTTTTTAATGGTCTTAACTCAGAGTCACACTTCTACTCACTGCTCTCTTTCTTCTCTTTCTCCTCAGCCACTGCAGTTCAGACAGAAAGGGCCATTCAGAACTAGAGTCAGTCTCTGTACAAATCACAATTTAAGAATTTCATGGCATTATTTTAAACTACTTATGTACACTATCCAACCAAAAGTAGATTAAGATCACCAAAATTAGAACCACTTTTTCTATTGAAAAGTTCATGTTTTTAAATACATAAAATATCCCATATCAAAACTCAAGTAATTTAGAAATCTTGAAGTTAGAACTAAAGCATGCAAGGAGAGGCAAAGAGATTGTGACCCGGGCTTAGACTCTACACTTTCTTCTATCCTGTGTCCTCAGTAGCATTAATATCACTGATTGAATTAAGTGAGTTGCAGAGGAAAGCTAAATACAGGTCTTTGTGGATTAAAATCTCTCTTTTTGAAAAATCTAGATTCCATTGCAATAATTGTGAAAAAATGCCAGGTTAGTATCTATTTTTCAAGTTTTTCTAAATAATCAGCAATTTTATATAGACTATTAGCCTGATACTCAAATTTTTCAAGTTATATATGCAATTATTTCCAATATTGAAAAACTCATAAGTAAAAACATACCAAGGTCCTGCAACTGCTTGAAGGCTTGTGTTCCATAAGTTCTTTGGATGATATGTGGCCTACTTTTACTTTCCTGGTAAGAAAAATATGTGAATTTTTCTTCTAATTAATAATGTCAAGTGAAAAATGCTGCACTTTTTTCAATGTTTATAATTTTTATTATTTTTTCCCTAAAATGCAAGCAACCATAGCACTAATTTGGGATAGTACTAATTTGAAGCAATCTATTTGCAGTCCTGAGCAAATCATGGAGCCTCTCTGCTTCTGCACATTTACCACCCTACAAAACTGAAGTATTGCAGATGTCTTTGAGATTACGTGAAAAAAAAGTCCTTTAAAAGCCTTAGTGTTAGATAACAAGGATCATTTATTCCAATAAATCAAATTGGAGAGAATATATCTGGTTGAAATCTTCCTCCCACAGATGAAAACCAACATTACTTAGTCTTATTAGTCTACACACAGCATTTAAATGATCCACAATAAGTAGGAAAAAAAAGATTAAAGAAAAGCAGAGAAAAATCATAGGTAAATCATACTTACATATTTCCTCCCTTAAATAAATTCCAATCAAGTGTTTTAAAATATTTCTGGGTTTCATATGAATGCATGAGACACTTGACTCATATATTGATTTATTCTAATACTTTTATTTGCTATTCCTTGAGCACTCTCCCAAATCAAATAAACTAAATAAAATAAACTTACTTCACTGTGGATCAGATCCATTGGTTCTATCAAGTACAAATAAGTACTATCTTCAAACATGCCACTAGAACATGGAGAAAAAGAAGCGATATTTAGGATTACAAAGCAACTAGTTTGACTCCAGTTTATGAATTTTGATGAGACAAAACCAATCTTAGGACTAAAAACCTGATCAATATTAAAATAAATTCCATGTATATTCATTACTAGCATATGTGGCTAAAGCTCAGATTTTTTCCTTTTAAGATATCAGGCACATTTTAATGAACTAACATTAAATGTAATGGCAATGCAATGATAAAGTACCAAAAAGAATAAAGATTTGACCTTGGAAAGAAAGAGTCCCAAGATACACATGTAGCATGCAGAATATAATCAACACCTGATTTGCACTTCACAGTAACTGATTCTAGTAAGGACTAATGTCTTATATTTTTACCTTGTACAAGCTAACAAAAAGATCAATTTTTCTATTGGCTGACAGAATCATACATGAATACTGAACATGCAAACTGCTAAAGTGCAATTCCTATTTATCCTTTACCATATTAAGTCATCTGGGGAAATATTTATTTTCACTTACTATATTCAAAAGTTTCATGAGACAGCATCAAAACACTAATTCCAATGATAGTAAAAAGAAATGCTAGCAGTTTGGCATAGCTGGTACTGCCATTTCAAAACATCAAAATCTTTGGGCCTGTAGAGTTTCAGTCCCTCACATATGAAGAGATAATATTAAAGAGTAATAATTAGTTCATGGCCCTGTTTGAAAAATGAGAACATGCACTTACTGAAGTCCATTACAAGTTGAAACAGCAACTTTGGAATCCTTGATACCTCTGATATTTCCATGGTAGTAACAATGCTCTCCCCCCTAATAATGTTTAAAAACAAACAATCACACACAAAATTACCTGGATTTAATGTCTGTTGCTTAAAACCAAGGCGAAAAAAGATCTAACACTAACAATACCAGTTTACCTCCTTTAAGGAGTTGTCTTCACTCTCTATCAGCAATAAATCCAGCTAAACTAAAGATTAAAGTATTCTCAAAAAAATTTCTTGAAAACCCTGAAGTGTGGCTGCCTCTCACACATTATTTTAAAATCCTATCATTCATCATAAAAATGTTCTTAATTCTTTTGTCATGTCACCTGAACTCCCACAAGTATATTGCATAAGGAAGGGGTTCAATGCGCTTGTTAATACTCTCCTTGAGCTAAGTAGGTACCCAGAAAATAAATGCTCTTTGCCTATCTATGCACAGTATTATTTCCATGTTGCATCTTATTTAATGAGCTATTCAGATTCTGGATGAAATTCCTAATGGGCTATTGTGCATAATTAAATCAAAGCACTACACAGAAAGCAAACACTGTGTATTCACCTTTCCATCAGTGAGACTGCATAAACCACAGCTAAATTTTTATTATCTTTCTCACACAAAGCTTTTCAAGAATGATTTTTGAAAAGATGATCATCCAAGTAAAGAAACTGCTGTTTGTTCTTCAGTCACTCTTGCAATAAACTACTCCTTTCTAGAAAATACAGTAAATACTTTGCATTAAGATTTCACTTCTTTAGATCCACATCAGGAAACAAAACAATCTTTTACTTACTTAGACCTAAAAATTAGTGTAAGACACCGCAAAAGACCAGGACAAAGTTCTTACTTGACCTCCCATGCACATTGTGTATATTTTCTGAACCTCTAATTAGGCTTTTTACAGATTAATGTGACCACAGGAGCTCTATTATTGCTTCTAAATAAAACAATTCAGAAAACATCCGCTAGGAAGTTTGGCTCTCAAGTTACTGCAGCATGCAAAGGTAGCCCATTTGCTGAGTCTGAAGTTCTAATATAATTTTCCAGTCAGATTCATGATTCAGCAACCGCAGTGCTCAATGCTAGTGCTGCAGCTGACAATTGCATGAGCTTGTCTAAATGCCAGAGGGAATTGTTTTCTTGCATCATTTAGCTTTTTTGCCTATTCTGCAGAGTACTGAGTCTTAATGAAGCAATTTCTTTTGCATGTTACATGAAACTATTTTTATTCTTCAGTGGAAGAAAACAAAAGAGCATATTTCAATAATTATACTGCAATGTAATTGTTTAATTCCACCCTTATCTGTGATGTATTATTTTATATGAAATTCTCTACAACAAGGCCAAATAATAAACTAGACACCTCATACTTGGACAAACAACAGTCCTGACTTTCTGAAGGCATAAGTGCAACTGGAACGCTTGCTTGCCTTCACTCTAAATAGACATATAGTTCACATGTAGTAAATTCACAACAAATATTCTGGCATTTATACCAAATATGAAAAAAGCAATTCCCCAAAAATATAGGTTATAACCTTCCTAGGAACCTACCAGTCCTCATTTTTTTACTACAAGAAACAAAATAAACCGATCTGGTTCCCTTAGGGCTGAACTACCTCGCGTAACTTTAATCTGCCTTCGCATCAATAGCCTATGGCACTGGATTCAGTTTGGGAGTGAGTTTGACAAACGTAATTAATCGGACGTCAAGCAATATGCTGACTTTGTAATAACTCCAGAGGTTAAGGTTTCAGTAAGTCTTTCATTTTCTGTTTCATGACTGTATAATTCTTGAAAAAAAAAAAAAAAAAAGTCACTGCAATTTTTTTTGGTTTGTTTCAATGTCTTACATTACCATTATCCCTTCTCCTTGCACTTTCTGCTAAGGACACATAAATAATTAATGAAGACTAATCTGATGGTGACTTCAACCCCTTCACCTCCTACATTTTACAAGATGTAATTGTTCTGGCAGTAACTGGATCATCTTTACCACTACCACCTACAAATACCTACTCCTCACCCCAAAACACAGCTTTCTTTTTTGTACAATTCCTCTTGTATTACTGAGATATCCTTACAAGATGAGATCACAACTACCTTGTATATATGGGAAAAGACTTCTGGTGCTTTTAAGATTTGCAAAATATTCATCTTTTCTTTTTAACATTTTATTGGCATCATTCCCTCAGAAAGACAATTCTGACATAATTTAAGAACACAATACCTTAGAAAACTTTGGTTTTCCATCTTCATAGTGAATCTCCACATAATTGGAAGATAACAAGTCACTGTCAAAGAAAGGAAAAATCAAGATGAGAAAAATCTGAATAGTCTTTCTACTGCTATGAGTTTCAAGCAGTTTGCATCCAGCAAATGGTTTGAGGGTGCACTAGAAGTCAGAGTGCATTACAGAAGGAAGAATTTCACTCTGCAATATAATCCCCTGTATTTTAGATTTACAATTAGATTATCAGCCTTTGAAATATGCAAAACAATATCCCATGGCCTTAGAACTTTGTTTGCTGACAGTAACTGGTACTGACAAAACATAACTTTAGTTCATTACTGTTTTCAAAAAAGTTTTAAATTTTAGATAAAAGTTAAACAGAGTATATATAAGGCTAAACAAATACATACATGGTTGTTCTGAAAACAAGAATGTATAATAACTTTCATCATTGCAAATATTCAATTTTTTTTCAAAACTAGTAATGTTCCTTAAAAAATCCCCAACAAACAGCAAACCAAATCATCCCCCATACTACCCATTTTCTTCCTTTCATTTTTTATTATCAGATACCTTTCTCATTCATTTTATTTTTCCCTAACTCTGGCAACACAAATTTCTGAAGCATAAAATTTCTCATACCATAAAATTTACAGTTCAGATTTCTTCTTTTCTTTTTCTTTTACTGAGTTTAGCCAAGCCTGTACATACCCTGTACATACCCTACCTCAATGCCCCATTCATATCTCACCCCATTATAACCAGGGTTGTGGCACAGCACCCAGGGAGAGCAAAGCACTTAAATATTTTAACTGGCCCTACCAAATATGCATGATAAGCATTTTACTTAATGTGATCCAGAATTCTCAGCATTTTTGAAGCCTCTAAGAGCCTGTACTCTTGCCAATACTAAAAAAACATAAATCATTAAAGGGTCTGATTGTGGTACATATATCAAAACAAAAATATTGCTATAAATAGAAACCATCATTACGGAAGTCTGACCTGACAAAACAGCTCTGATGAGAACTCACGAGGAACAACAACTTCTGATAATGGCTATCTCAAACTCAGATTGGGCTATTAGCAATCCTGATAACACTTTCACTCTGGGATTCCTGGCTCATAAAATCAATTCTTCATGCTGCAATTATCAGGCACTACACTCAGAGAGCATCCTGCAGAACTCAGTTACCAGTGGTTCTCTTAAAAGTCCTTTTGCATGGAAATAAGAGACCACACTATGGGCACTCTGTACCTGCAAAAGCAGTGCTAATAGCCCTGAATAATTACTGACATCTCATAACTTTTCTTAAACTTCACTTAGAAGGTACTATTTAATAGAAACATTTTTAAAGTGCAGATTTTAAAAATGAATTCAGTTGTGTAAAATCATTTTAACTTTCTCTATTTGTATCATAATAAGCTATACATTTTCTGCAGAAAGTACAAATGCTTTATAAATAGTGTAAGTGCTTGTCTACGTTTACATTTTGATTAGAGCAGAAGTGGATCCAGTACAGCAAATTAGTTTTTCAATATTATAAGCAGTAGAAACAGTGCTAGCTTTAACTGAAACAACTGTGTCAGTCACAATCACAACAGACCAAAGCATATTTAGGTAGTAGCACATTAGCATGATACTATACAATGAAGACATCAAATTGCAACATGGTGAATGAACTCACGACCAAAAAAATGTCCTTTTCTGCAGTTCCTCCCACCCTGCTTTGCTTGTCTTTGACAATTGTTTTTATTAAGCTGTCCTGCATTCCCAGCTCTTGTACCTGAGTTACACTGAGAAATGCAAAATAAGCAGCAAAGGGACACGCCATTCCCAGTGGTTGCTGCCTTTGAAGGCACAGGACAGCTGTTAAAGCAAGCAGCAGATGCTTTCTGAAGAACTCACATCCACTTCCCTGGCACATATTTCACTGCTGATGTTTTCATTAGCAGGAGAGCTGCAGAGTGTAAAGTGGCTTACCTCAGCTGGCATCTAACTGTCCTGATGAAGAGAATTGATTTGGGTAAGTAAAGGCTATGAAATGACTAAAAGATATCTCATATACAAGTAAGTCAGTCAGTTTCCAGGAATCTAATAGACAGCCTGAGGAAAATCAGACTACAGCTGAACTATCTTTCTTGTATCTTAAATCATCTTTGTACTAACTTATTACCAGCCAATAATTTATTATTTTTTAACTATTCTGAAGTTATTCAAGCTCAGTACCAGTGTCTGAGCAGCCTAGTTTAGTTGAATTACTTTACAGAACACTCATCAGATGTTTTTGCTCATTTGACAGATATGGTTTAGTGGCACACAGAGATGTGAAAAACAAATAGAGACCCTGCTGCAGCAAGGTACTGTCATCTGTAATGCAATAGCCATCTCCAGCCTTGTTTCTATTACTAGTTTCAATTATAACCACAAGCTTTGAATTGACTGGTCTTGTTGGAATGTATCATTAAGTTCCTACTATGTATCTACAGTAGTCTTTACTTGGCTTTTGTCTTTGAAGCTGGTTTGACAAGTGTCTCCAAGGAATAAACATACTACAGATATATGTTGTTCTTTTTTAAAGCAGAGCAAAGTTTTACTACTTTTTCTTGTATTATCTTGAAGAAGCTTTAAAAAATAAAAGCATGATACTGTGGATCAAGCAACTGTGTTTATATGCAATTAAACATCTGATATTGCAATTCTTAACTTCTTCATAGCTATGGAATCAAAGAAAGTCTTGACTCCTACTGCTAATACCATAATAATTCTGTAAGAATAAACTTACTTAAAAGTCACTTCTTGCATGGTCTTGCTAATATTGTTTGGTTTTGCTCAGCATGTCTTTCAGATGGAGAAAAAGTATGACCTGACGACAAATTTATTAAACTGAAATTGCCAAGAAGATATTTTAGGTGGGGGTTTTATTGGGTTGGGGTTTTTTTTTTTTTTTTTTTTTTTTTTTTTTTTAAGAGGGCCTTAAATGGGGAGATCTCTCCAAAACAGACTGACAGGGAAGCATGTTCTGAAGTAATACAGAATGGTGCAGAAAATACTCCAATTCTTTTCTGGGTGCAAGAAACCCTGAGTCAGTTCAAGGGAGTTCAGACAACAAATTCTTCATGCTCCTTTCTCTAGTTATGTCCTGAAGCTCTCCATCCAAGAATGGAACATGCTACATTTTAATGGCTACTTAAATAAGCATTTTGAAGGTAGCAGTTTGAAGAGTTCCTCACAATATTAACAGTATGTTGGTCAGTTTTCAGCACATTTGCATTTACCATAGCACTGAAGATGATAATCACTTTTAAAAGTGCTATGCAGAAGGATATGAAGACATGAACAGCTTGGCAATATTAGAGAAGACATGAGTTCTATGCCATGACAGAAGTTTCCTAGAAAAGCAATTGACAAAATAAAGATTTCATTTAAACCACTGTGAAAGTTCATTCAATATTGCATTTCAATTGATCCCTTTGCTTTCATCACCCGCTTGGAAAACTTTTGAATTATCAAGAACAATTTTATTAACCTGGAGCGTAAGATTGAGGGCTGCCACCTGTCTTAGGCAGAATGATCTCATCCAATGTAACCATATTTGCTTCATTTAAAGGAAAGCATTTTTGGATACAAAAGAAACTCATGTTTATTCTCCTCCTCTTAAACAGTTTAATGACTGTGCCACATGTACTGATACTTTGTCTCTAATGATAACAATCCAATTTAAAACAACTCTGACCATGAAGGGAAAATCCAAGCAGACCGAGGTGTGGGGGTTTTTTTCAATTATTATATTATTTTACTTGTAATACAAAAAAGAGTGAAAGAAGCTTATTTATACTTATAGAGATCTAACTTGGTCACTTTCAGATTAAATCAACAAATAGCAGAATCAGAGATACATTCTGGTATTCCAGCAAACTGAAAGTTTATTTTGGTTCCCTTAATCCATGCTTTCATGTTGAACTACACTGCACAACTTTAGCCCTGTCATTGAATCAAGTTAAATGCAGCTCCATAGGCTCTTAGGGGCTCATCTGATTAACTTAATCACATGCCAAGCATACACAGGCTTTATACTAGCTCCAAATGTGAAGATTTCAGCCTGACTACAAGAGAATCTGAGATCCCAGGAATTCATTTCAACATAAAGATCTCACTGTTGACAATACTGCACCACCTCAGGAACAGACTGAAACACTCTCTAGATAACAGTTCATCACCACTGCCACATTACAGCAGTTGCAAGTGAGTAAGGAATAAGAACATAATCTGAGAAAAGATGCACCAAGTCAGACAACTGCTTAGCATGTTGTCTGACAGCAAACACACACAAGCAACAATCTTTCAGGGAGTTTTCTCAGCACACAGTGATCTGCAAGACCAGGATTTCATAAACCAGTTAGTGCAATTGTTTTCAGTGGCTTGTAGTAGATTTCTTTTCTGTAAATTCTTACAATCCTTTAATTCCTCTAAATAGTTTAATATGTACAATGCCCTGTAACAAGATTTACATTTTAATTATTTTTGTGAGAAGCACCTTCTTTCAAATCTCCTGCATTCAATACCTGAAGTTGCTACATGGGAGGGAGGAGGCAATAAACATTCTCGCCCCGACACACTGAATTTTGTAACATTGTCATAATCCCCCAGATGGGCATTTGCCTTGTCCAGAGCTTGTTGACCCTAGCAATGCACCAAGCTAATGGCTGTGGGTGCATCTCAGCTGACACACATTCAAAATCCTGTTCAGACTGATGAGAGATGCACACTTAATTAAATCAAGGATCAGGAGTGCAAGGAATGAAGTCTTTCACTCCACAAGCAAGTGGTCTGAACAGAGGTACTTTTTACATGGACATGTAGGGATAGGACAAGGCGTAATAGCTTTAGATTGAAAGAGGGTAGATTTAGATTAGATATATGGAAAGAATTCTTTACTGTGAGGGTGGTGAGAGGTTTTCCTATCTGTCTCTAAGACCCATTGCACGTGGAACAGCCACTAGGGCAAACGGTAACTGTTAATAGGTTTTCTCCAGCACTGGATGTGGCAAATAAGGCAG